GACTACATCCAAAATCGCATGCTCTCATAGATACTTGTTTTGAATAAGTCATTATTTTGCGACTGCTTAAAAGTATATTCTATATAGTATAAATGTGTGTAGTATGAATGTAATCTGGATGTACTACATCCACCATGTTGTCATTGTCACGTAACCTACCAGCGCCAGTGGCGTCACATCACTGTCTTTCATAAATCCTCTCCCGTGGCCTCATGGGATAAAGTGCCCGTATGCCCGTTAGGGCTGTCAAAAAAAATTAGAATTTCGAATATTCATCGAATTTTAAATAAAAATCCACATTCGAATGCAAAAATGTTGCATTCGAATTTTAGGCGTGCGTCAGGCAGCCTTATCAGTGGCGCACGAAATGCGACGACGATGTAGGTGTCATTGCATTTTAATGCTTTTGTTAGCCTATCCAGTTGAAGCCACTAGATGCGGTGCTGCTATGTTGTTAATTCAAAATATTGCAGAAAAAGAGAACAATCAATGCGGAGAAGATGTTGTTTACCGAAACCAAGTCGTTCACACAGAACGCATATTTATCGCATTTTCTAGAGGGACAACTATCACCGTTGCACTCGCGTCTCGCACAACCGCATGTTTAGAAATCCATGTAATATTAACGTAATTCAACTTTTATAAAATGTCTCTCATAGTTGAGGTATACCTATGATGAAAATTACAGGCCTCTCTCATCTTTTTAAGTGGGAGAACTTGCACAATTGGTGGCTGACTAAATACTTTTTTCCCCCACTGTACATGCATGATGCTGTTTTGTTTCTAATTGTTTAAGCAAATGTATTAATTATATATGGTTTATAAACATTATTTTAAACATTATGCACTTTTTTCAAAGATAGTCGTGTTATTTTATTACGTTTTGAAGAAACGTGCATAATATTTTGCTCGATGCACCCTCTTGTGGCCTCAGGAGAGAAGCCAACAGATTTTTTCCCTCCTAACTGAAATTATGCTGAAAATATAATTTGAATATTGATAATATTTAAGTAAAAAATTCGAATTTAGTTTTTCAGCCATTTTGACAGCCCTAATGCCCAAATCGTATGCATACTTCAGAATGACGCCGGAAGTGGTAGGTGATCTGGGTACTTTTTTTGTCCACCCTACCGTGAATTCGGACATACTTCTTTTGTCACATACTCTTTTTTCGCCTACTAGATATAGTAGAGAAGTATACAATTTCAGATGCATCCGTTTCTAAATGAATCAGCCATTTTGAACAAATGATTTGAATAATTTAATGAATCCTTAATTAAGGGACTTGTCGCCACCTACTGGTGGTTTTAGTATTATATTTATTTATCCATGACAGCCCTAAACTAGCTATGGTACCTGTACAAAGACAAACTAAGCAAAATTGTATTTAATTATTGTTATCAAAAAAATCACAACAAATATTGAGATACAATTTTTTTTTGTCAATATCAATCACCCCTAGCTGCCAGTTATTGTGTGTGTGGTTACCAAGATGGTAAATATTGGGTAATTAGTTTCATTATGCTTATACACAATTTAATGTGTGATGTTCTTAAAGCCTGTCAATGAGGGATTGTTCATATGGTAATAGTTAAAAGGCAGATTATAAAATTGCATATAGTGCATCTAAAAAATAATTGTTTTAAAATCGTTTATTAAAATAAT